AGTGGCCGGGTATTCTGCAGTTCAGATCAAAAATGTCCTGCGAGACTAAAAAGTTCATTTAAAGAAACGAGGAATGGTCCCAATGGTCTGAAGTCTACACTGCAAGTTAGACTGAATTGAGTGTTAGGCCTAGGCCGTGCTACTGCCGTGCTGAACTCGGGCAAATGAATTTGGCTCGGCAATGGCATGACAAAGAAACGGCAGTTGCTTCAAACGTCGAATTTAATTTAGTCGCGCCGAAGGTCGGAAGAAGTTTGCTTTGCTGAAGACCATTTTAAGTGCTAGAAAGTAATGACAGCTGATGCAACAGGCTATGAATTCAGTTCGGCACAGCAAGAGCACGCCATTTGAAGCCAAGTCGCGCTACTGTCGTGCGGCACGGCAAGGCCTGCGGCGCTAAGTAGTCGCACCGAACTTGATTCAGCCTGCCAAACTGAGTGGTTTCAAACGTCGTGCTACTGCGGTGCTTAAAGTCTAATTTCATTCTTGAATTGAGTTCGGTCGGCAAGGCAGTGGCAAGACGTTTGGAATAGTTAAGCCTTATGGGGGCTCTACAAAGAAACTACCATGTAGACTTTCCTGAATTTTATTGCAACAACGTGGATGTGCCACAGCAGATCAAGCTTAGACGTGTGGTATCAAGTCTGATTATTTGCTAAATCCAGTGTACATGTAGGCTAGGACTTTCTGGAACTCAGTTAGATTCCTAAGTAAATGATCGGCAAAAAGTTTTTTTCCTAGTCCCAGAGATATTTTTGTTTCTGTAACAGAAACAAAACAAAAAAACTGCTACGGCCTAGAAAACCCCTAGAACCAGGTTAGCCAAAAACTAACTTCTTTGTTTACCATTACTAACCTTTTTCAACAGCTCTGCAACACATCGAACTTTTGGAAACAACCAATGGCAAGAATTACGGGATCGCTTGGAGGAATGGCGGCAGAGTTTACATAGTGTTCGCTCCAGTCTGCAGACAGTTGTGCCAACTATAGATGTGTAGCTGAATTCCCAATAAAGTTATTTGTTCAACATAGTTACTGTCTGCTGGTCTCTGTTTGTTTTAAGACTATAAATTAAAAAAAAAAAAAAAAAGAAAAAAAACACTTAGAGGTCTTATCTTCATCCATCTTCCTACTCCAGTCGATTACTTCTATAACAGAGACACCAAAGGGGCAGAGATGAGTGTCTATATTATGGAGGTGTCTGTATTATATAGAGGTGTCCATACCTTAGAAGCCGGTGTCCATAAGGAGAGTTGTGACAGTATTTTTGGATGCCATCTGTTTATCGAGGAAACATGGGCAACAGTCCATCAACTTTAAAGCCCTTGAGTCATGAGTAATAAACTCCTCTTCATGACGTCTCTCTCATTTAACAGAATTTTTGGGACCAATTTTTGGGACCAATTTTTGGGAACACTTTTTTTGGACCAATTTTTGGGAATAAGAGTGAGCAAGTGAGTATGATCTTGTCTCCTGGAGTGAACATATGGATTGTCTGCCGGGACGGAAAAAAACGGCATAATTGCTGGCATACAAAAACGTGTCACCTTTTATGTTAACGGAATGCATGAGGCCACACTCATCAACGTCAAAACTTAAACAAAACCTTTTTACACACTGACGTCAAACCAGGACGATTGTACATTCTTCCCAAAGTACATAAACCGGGTAACCCAGGGACGCATATCCCATTTCGCTGACTACCATCTTCAACCTTTAGATCATAAACTACCAACCTTTTGTAAAGACACTAACGACTTCTTTAACAAACTCCTCACCAAAATTAAGATAAAAACGTTCGCTGGCTAAAAAATTTCAAAAAAGAACATGAGCTTTCGGTTGTCAATCTACAGCCTTCGACGGATAAAAAATGGAATGCAAAATTATAAAATATATGCAAGAAAAGGCGAGATAAAAATAAGAAGAAGAACAAAAGCAAAGTAAAAATGTGTAAATTAGATGACCATTGTTTAAAAATAATACTATACTGGTTTGGAATC